AATAGTTGTCGGACTAAGTCCAGTTCATAATATATGGCGTCATTTGTTTACGCTAAGGTAAGGTTCGAGCAGACATGAGCGTTCGAGAGAAATCATTGGGAATTTATAGTTCAAAAGCAATAATTCAACCTTGCTGACTAGGCGATTCCTCTGTAGCTAAATGGTATAGCACGTCTGGCTATATGACGGTTACGTGTAGGACACAGGGTCGAGGACATATTTTCTATAAAATTTCTCGGACATTCAGGTCGGGAAATGTTGTTAATCCTGTTTATTATAAACAGAGTATTTACTTAAATATTTGTATCTATAAAAAAAACATATAAATAATATATATATATATATATATATATATATATATATATATATATATATATATATATATATATATATATATATATATATATATATACGAGGGTCATTCAACAAATAAGGTGAGTTTTTCAGTATAAGGACTTCTAATACAGATAGAAGCTTACTTTTTTTTTTATTTTTCAATGTAGTCTCCCAGCACTGTCACACGATTTTCCCATCTGTGCACACGCTTCCGTATTTCCTCAGCGTAAAAATCTTTGGACTGATGTCTCAGCCAGTCGCTCACAACACTTTTGACTTCATCGGCACTTTTAAACTTCGTGCCTCTCGTGAACGCTTTCAAGGGACCAAACAGGTGAAAGTCTAAAGGGGCAAGGTCTTGGCTGTAAGGGGGATGAGGGAGCAGTTCCCAGCCCAGCTCATTGATGGTCTACACCGTTTGGGTTGCTGTGTGAGGCCTTGCGTTGTCATGATGCAAGATGACTCCTTCTGACTGATGACCCCTGCGTTTGTTCTTTATGTCTTTCTTGACCTGCCTCAGCAGTTTACAGTAGTTCTTCTGTCAGACTGAATGAGGACATTGACTGATTCGATCACCTCAGGAGACCTCACTTCTGTAGGCCTCCTAGGCCTGTCTTCATCCTCAACACTGCTCCGTCCTTCTTTAAACAATTTAGCTCACTTATAGACATTTTTTTTGGCTGAAACATGTGGCACCATACACAGTTGACATTCTCCTATGAATTTCAACTGGTTTGCAACCTTCAGCAACCAAAACCTTGATATTTGACCGCTGTTCAATCCTGGAGCATGCTTCTTGGTCGGCCATCTTTGTTAATCGCCAAAACTCTCAAAGTTTTTTTTTAATCTGCAAAAGAAATTAAATCCATGTGAAAAAGAAGTAAAAAAAGAAGTAAAAAAAGAAAAGTAAGCTTCTATCTGTATTAGAAGTCCTTATACCGAAAAAAATTCACCTTATTTATTGAATGACCCTCGTATATATATATATATATATATATATATATATATATATATATAATATATATATTAAAAGATTTAATTTGAACGAATAATATAGATTGAATGCATTTAGTTTATTCATTTGATGCAATTAGGCCAGATCGAATTTATATTCAAAATAAAATGACAATTCTTGTTTTCTTCCGGGAAGGTATTTCCAAAGGGAATATATTAAGGAAGTCTGTAATTTTTGATAAATATTTAATTATGAACGCTACCCACGCAGACTTTCCTAATTGCATTTATTAATTTATTTCGTACAGATTTTAATCATGAACTCCGGAGATTATTGCCTTGAAATTATGAAGATGTTAATTAAATATCAAACAATCGGCATGGTAATAATTAGCTATGTTTTTATTTGTCAGCAAAGGAATAAACTATACGAGTACACTTCGCCTGGATTTGCCTTCTATGCTAAAAACTTTTCCTAATAAGACTAAACCTAGTCGGGAAAAATATCACAAATATGGAACACACAGTAACCCCGAATTCGTACCAGTAATAAAAACCTGCTAGTTGGTTTGGCACGCGTCAGTGATCCGTCGAAATGGTACCATTAAGAAGATAAAACTTTTTGCTTTATGATCGATAGCGTCCCTCACTTTAGTCGGGCGTCGAATAGAAAGAAGTAAAAAAGAAGAGTGGAAGAAGGGACAAAGTGTCTTTATTTCAAATCGTCTGACCGCTTTCGATAATGAAAAAAATGATTACTGGTCACTTTATGTACACGTTCGCTAGCCTAATCTACATCGACGCCTGTTGACGTCTCCTAAGTTGGTCACGTATTGCGTGTCCTAATTTAGTCACGCTCGGATAACGAATATTTTAAATGTATTTTCTATTAGAATGCTCCTTTGTCACTCAACATTGCTGGATATTTCACTTGACAAGCTTACACCATTGTACGGAAACCTATCTAACAGGAATAATAAGACTGGAAACGCACACACACACACACACACACACACACACACACACACACACACACATATATATATATACTAAATATGTAGTAGACAGGAACAATTCCAGGCCAAGCACGGATATTTAAAAAAGTGCCCAATACACCGTTCAAAGTTGAACATGTAGAGCAGGTTAATACTCTGAAAAGTATAAAAAGTTGTCCTTATTCACTACCTGGGTTTCGACCGCAACTGGTGATGCATATATATATATATATATATATATATATATGTATGTGTGTGTGTGTGTGTGTGTGTGTGTGTGTGTGTGTGTGTGTGATTGATTAATACAAATTTAACATTTGTCACTTAGCTGATTGATGTTTTATTCAGCATCTCTACCCTGGACTGACCGTTGTCTAATTTTTCGGTCCACTCGTCAGGAGGTTTCAGCAAATGTCAGTTTTTCGTTATTTTTATATTAAGTTAAAAAGATAATTTATGTTTTTTTTTTTATTGATGTTAGGTTTAATTTTCTTCTTTGTATTTGCGCGCGTGTGTGTGTACGCCTGCAAGCGTGCGTTTCTGCACAGTGTAGTATGTCTTGGTAATTTCATCTTTTAATAATTTTCTTGTCCTCTTATCCTCTCTCATTCCTTTTTCTTTATTTTCTTTGTCTTTCAGAATTGAGTGTCAAAAGATAATGTAACAAGGTTATTTCCGGGTTCAGAGACTAGGCTAATATTAAAGAATATTCTGGGGTTTTCTAAAGCTTTTGAAAATGTAGGACTACTTAATTTTTATCTATTTCTTGTTTAAATAATTAATTTTTTTAAATTAATACCTAAGTGACTAAGGTAATAGTTCTATACGTCTTCTCTTGCCAATTATTTCGTTTTCTCTTCTCACAGTCAGATGATATTAAGACGGCAAAAATTCCCTCTGCTTATAAAGGGAAGGTTGTCTAGATTTAATATACAAGTTCTCATACACTCACAAGACCCTGCATATAAATTCCAAGCAACAATCCTTTTGTAAGTACAAGGAATAATTGCTGGTTTTTAATATAACCTTTATATGACATACATATATATATATATATATATATATATATATATATATATATATATATATATGTATGTATGTATGTATGTATGTATATATATATTTCCAAGTATAGGATTGGTGTATACTGAATAAATTCCAATAACCCAAAAATACAATTCTTAAAAGAGTGCTCAATACAGAGTAGAGCAAATATAATTTATTCGAAAATTATAACATAAATATCTTATAAAATCACTACAAAAATAGGCATTTTGTTCCAACACTTCTGGTGTCTTATCAAGTGATGGTGTTGAATGTAGAACCTACATATATATATATATATATATATATATATATATATATATATATATATATATATATATATATTCAAGCATGTTTTATTAAATAATATAGACATATTATGTCTATTTATTTGTATAATAATCCTTTCTAGTTCTCTAATTATCTTCTTGATGTTAAATCGAAATTCATCAAGGCGCCTTATTTTTTGTTAAACGAATTACTTTCGATTTTCTCCGAGATCATCCTCAAGGTTAAATTGTGAAGACAAGTATAATGTAATTATAATTGTTGTGGTGGTGATTTTGAAAACACGCAGGAACGCGCTCTGCTATAATCATTTTAAAATTAATCCTTGTGGTTACGATGTTTTGCAAACAAGCATTCCCAATTCAAGGGTGATAACCAGAGATACTAACATTACAACATGGCAAATTTCAAATTGGTGTTAAATGTTAGTCAACTCAAATACATTTTAAAACATTGCTACTATACTCATAATAAATTTTGTTCACTGCTAGCTAGTCGCCTCCGATACAGAAATAAAATTATTAAATCACACAACAATAGAATACTGAAACTTCATAACGAGAATAAACGCAACCCAAACACAAATTCTAATATACCCCAAGTAACAGTGCTATGTAATTGCAGAATCCCCGATCAATGTCCATTATCAAACAGGTGCTTAACGAAATCCATTGTATATATGGGCTGTATCTCATCAAATGAGAACCCCAAGGATATTAAATTGTATGTGGGATCAACTAGAAGACCTTTTAAGGATCGATATTACAATCACATATCCTCCTTTACAAATGCAGGCAAACGCAATATGACTCACTTTCGGAATATTTTCGTAAACTGAAGGAGGAAGGAAAAACACCTAAGGTTAAATGGAAAGTGACGTTTTAATGTGGCTTGCTTACAAACAGAATTGTTCATAACCATTTTTGTTCTCACCAATCGAAGTGCAATTAAATGCACTGAAACGAAGTTGCATCTTTGTAGTGAGTAAATTGTTTTTGTCTATATGAAAAAATTATAATAAATAATATTTAGTTATCCATCTTTATCTCAGTCTATTTCTAAATCTTTATACAAGTCTATCTATCTATCTATCTATCTATCTATCTATCTATCTATCTATCTATCTATCTATCTATCAATGAGAAACAATAAAATTCACCGTTTATCTTTTCTTTTTTCCGTCATACTTTTTTAACAAGCACGACACAATGGAAGCAATCAGTAAATATCCGTTATATTTCTGACCCAGGCTATTATAATAAAAGTTACTAATGCCTACTAAGCTTTTCTTCTGGTATTTACTAAAGATTTCCTTGGATTTTGTCAACAATTTTGAGATAGATATCATGAGCACCAGACAAGGTCATCATCTTCATCTAGCTAACGGTCGCATCAGGTTGAAACACCGGTTCCCGTACAATCACTGAAGTTAAGAAACGTTGAGTCTGATTAGTATTTGGATGGGTGTCAGCTTGGAAATATCAGGTGCTATAAGCTTGGAAGCGCGGATGGTACAATGGATAATGGCTCAGAATTGTTGATAGGCACCGATTTCTAAATCCCGTTGGGTTCGTTATATTCACTTACGCACAAATACCCTTGGGAAATATATGAATCCACCTCCACTCCCCCAACTATGAGTTAATTAGTAAGACTTGTATCGCTAAACCATTATTATGACCCCACTCCAAAAATTCTTAAAATCTAAAATAAAATATTTCCTGGCTTTAAATAACCGGCAAAGGGTTGATAAGCCGTAGAAAACGAATCAATGAATGAATCAATCTTCTTAATTTGTAAGGAAGATTATCTAGCGTTCATTGCTATACATGAGGATAGATAATGATATAGGAGTTCAAATCTCTTTTCTGTGTTTCTAACTAAATATTTGTCTTATTACTTTGTTTTTTTTTCTGACAGCCTTCAGATCTCTGCACCACACATTCTCTCATCTCACAGTAAAACAGAGGAATTAATTATTGCTTTAACAGTAAATTAAATTCATTGACTTTTCTAATTAAAAAATGCGTCCATTACAACATAACTTTGTTCCAGTATACCTCTTTTCTCTCGACACTCTAGGCTGGTTTGCCAAAATAAATAGCGTTCCCCTTTCGTTTTCCTGTCAGATTTAATTTAGCCTCCCATTGACCATCTTGTTTGTTGCTTCCTTTTATGCATGGCTTAACAAAAGCATTTTTTTTTTACTATTCCAGTGTCTTTTTTGTGTTTTATGCTTTCAAAATAAGTCACACAAAGTGAAAACATGTGAAATTTTTCTGTACACCGTGTTGTTCCATTGGTGGATAAAAAACGCTTTGCATCCGCTATTTACCAACGTGTATTTTTATCCACAGCCATTTTTCTTAATTTTATCCGTACCAAAACAAGTTGACTTTTGAAAACACGTCACCGTTCAATGCAGCTTACTTAATAACTTGGTAGCATAACACAGATTTAATTAACACCCCTTCGTACATACAGGCTACACATTCTTTTCCATATCTGCTAATGTGTATTTGTTTCACTGTCGGAACAAACCACTCTTGTATTCAAATTACTAAATATGTAGATCATCGTCATCCCTTATTCAGTTAGCGCATTTTGCGCCGCTGTGGTCACCACCCACTTCCACCTCAAAATTATGGTTTATGGTGACATTCAAGGCAGAATAGTGGCATGCCAGTTTCTTTTGCACCGGAGATACTAAGGTTAATCTTAGAGGTGGATTTGTTTTTGAAGTAGCCTTCTTTACATAATAATTTTATATTATAATTTATTCTTTTTCATCCATGTGTTTATTTTTAAGATGTGTTTGGGGAAGCTAATTTCCTTCACCTATAAAGGGCGATAACTCAAAACACAAATTGGGCTCGATCTCCATCTTACCTCATCACTTTTACGGACAAGGCTTCTAAGACGTTTCTCTACGGCACAGGTGTTAGCAAGCTAGGTTAAAATATTACTGTACTAAGTGTCAATGGCAGCAACCGGGCGTGTCTCATGGGGAAGCTTTATAAAGCTTCTTTAAAAAGACCATCACCATCGGCCAGTTTTGATGTATCACCGTCCACCAGGCAGCAAACAATTTTGAAGCAAGCCGCCATAGCTTGCAGCCTGATTATGTGCCAGTCCTAGCAGCTGGAATCTTCTCTTGTTCACAAGCAAGGGTAACACTTTCTGAATGTATCTCATAGGTGTCGATAAGGGAGTCTCTCCACGTAGAAGTATTTAGCAAGTGTCTCAAGTATGTTCATATTGTAGTGGATTCCTGTGTAGTCATAATTGTGAATTTTTGAGACTTTTAGCTAAAGTGTATAAATCTAAGTAATACTATCATTTTAATTTAAACCAAGTCATTCGGAAGAGGCATGCTGGCAGTGCTAGAATTTTAGAAAAACTGCTAGATCTTCGAAATTAGACAAAAGAAATCAAAGAAAACTAGTTAGGTTGTCACTTTACAATCCAGAATATGCAATGTGATGGGTCTTGAGCTGGTATCTCGTCTACAGTCACTTTCTCACAGACGTGCCGTTGCTACCCTCTGTCTTTTCTACAAGTATTTTCATGGCAACTGCTCCGACGATCTACTTTCACTAGTTCCCAAACTGCATGAATTTAAACGTGCTACTAGGTTGGCATCTCAGTCCCACCCTTTCGCTGTCGAGACGATTAAATGTAGTCGTCTCTTCTACTCCAAAGCTTCTTATCTCACACTTCCCATCAGTGGAACTCCCTTCCTCTTACTTGCTTCTCTGATAGCTATAATCTTCAAATATTCAAATGTAATGTCAATCGACATCTTCTGATGCCTTGATCTTGATCGCCGTCCTTCTCTTTATCCTTTCCTCAAACACGCCTCTTCTCTCTTGCTCTCCCTCTCTGTAACCCCTGCGCGCTAGTGCACTCCCTCCTTGTTTTGGGTGAAATGCTTAAAAAAAACTATCCAGCCCAAAATTAAAAGTTCGTCAGTCTATGAATGAAAGCAATATTATTACTAAAAGGCCAATTAATTCTAAGTAAATGTTATCTAAATGGATGCATTATAATCCAAAATAACAAAAAAGCAAACATCATTAAACATCTGACGAAAACACTGAACAACAGAACATCTGCTCTGGGATAATAAAAAATGATATTTAGTGACAAAAGGAAGACTATACTTAATTCTAATACAAGAGAATGTGTCCGTAGAGTAATTGGTTCAAGAAACAATTAATACACGCCGCTTTGCCCTGAGTAGCCGAGCCAGTATTCATATTGATTCACCAGAGGTCAAAATACAACTGATAAAGATCTGGCCATTTCCATGACGTCAAGATACAGTGGCACAACGTATATTCACGTCTATTCTATCATTTCGTCATTTCATATATATATATATATATATATATATATATATATATATATATATATATATATTCTCCTTTTTGAAAAAAAGTAATTTTTCAGCTACTGCTGATTAATGCTAAAAGCTATTCGAATATGAATTGAGCCCTCCGGTAGTCGGTAATGTTTATATCTCGTATATAATGCGTTAAAAATTCCATTTCTCTACCCCGGGTTGAAGAAATCGCACGTCTAGTCTCACTGAGGAGCTGGGATAATGCAGAACAGTCTGTCTGTGGATAACTATATGATATATATATATATATATATATATATATATATATATATATATATTATTAGCACGTAACGTAAGGGAAAGGTGTGAATTCTCTTCTTCTCCCTCCAGCTATGGGTTAAATAGCAGGACAGACTGGGTTCTATAGCCTTGGGTGGCAACTGGTCGAGGAGAAGGACAACTCTGAATTCAAAACCTGAGGGGGTTGTTTGGGGACCTTGTGGCACGCAGTGCACCAGGTTTCTGTATTCGGTCCTACAAAAAGTGTGGATGGTCCTGCACGAAGCCTTCACCACTATAATCGAATGTCATGTGCCGGTGTCGGGCTGTCAGTTTCCTGGAAACTGATCTGCGTGACCCTCATACGTCGAACCCGACAGGAGAATCGATTGATTTATATATATATATATATATATATATATATATAACTCTATGATATATATATATATATATATATATATATATATATATATATATATATATATATATATATATGTGTGTGTGTGTGTGTGTGTTTGTGTGTAATTTAAGATAGAGTATATCTGTAACAAGGACAATATGAATAAAGACAAAGGTAAACTTATCTTAACCGACGCGTTAACCACTCTGGTTACCTCCCTCAGAGGAGTTTATTCATATATATACTTGGATAGCAATGTTTTATTGATAAAATTTTGGTTAAAAGACCAATGGAAGTTCTTTGTTAAGAATTCTTTTTGCGTATTTCTTTCTATATTTCGAACGATTTTTAATTTCTAATGGAACTTTTAAAAGGCTCATGTAGAAACATGGGTTACCACAAGCTTACATCACCTGGTATTAACAAGTGCTCGCCCATCTACGTACTGATCAGGCTCGACGTTGCTTAACTTCATAGGTCTTACGGGAAGTGGTGTTTCAACGTGATGTGGCCGAAGTAATGTATTTTTTTTCAATTTTCAAGTGAATATATTAGAAGCAAATCACACAGAGCAAAACATATGTTGTCATCAGTGATAATATTACAGTGATAATATTACAGGAAATCTTCAATTTTCAAATTGTAGAAAAAATCTTTTCTATAAATAAAAAAAATATCAACGCGTATTTTCTTCTTTAGTAAATATGGCCGCTTTTAATAAATATGGCCGCTTTACTTTCAATGAAAAATCACTTTGTATTTATTTTTTATTAGTGCGGCCCACTTTATGATGAGCCTTATGATGAGTCATATCTCATGCGGCCCACTGGTCGGAAAAGATTGCCTGTTCTACAGTGAGATTTTCGATCAGGATCAGAAGATGGAAACAAACAAATCCTGTCTTGATATTTTGAAGTGTTGTTCATTATCTTTTGGTTCCGATGAAAACACTCGAAAGATTTTCCAAGCAATCGAAACATTTTTTAAAAGGATATTTTCTCTTGCGTAAAAATCTAATGACATCTTTTTCTTTCTTTTTTTTTTAATTCCTTATTTAATGTTTATTCCGTTTCGTTTCTTTAATAAATGTCTTGTCGTCAGAATGAAGTCAACGGATATGAAACAACTTCCTGAATTTCTGAGAACTTAAACATATAAATTATCTTAAAATACGGTTGTTCTTAGTTTCATGTTAGCCGTACTAAATTCATTTCCTGAGACGTAACTACTAACTGAATTTTGATCTGAAATTTTCACTCGATAATATTCAATCTATTTGATCAATATTCACCAATGAATTAAGTGTATCGACAAGGAATGAGGTTATAATGGGAAATAAATATTGCATAAAATAATTTTTATTATTGGAATAAAGTTTTATTGATATATGTACTTCAACTGCTGAGCTGAGATGTTACAAGCAAAATAGAGTATATTTTTATCATTTTTGGAAGAAAATAAACATTTATCTTACATTTTTTAAAATTAAGTTTGATGAGGTTCAGTAACACTTACTGCAGCCTTAAATTACACCATCTTCTGTCCAATAATCATACTAACAGATTATCTGTAGATATCCACATATATAAAATTACACAAATACATACATATATATTTTTAAATGGACTATTTTAAAATCCGAAGTTAATCCTTATTCTTATAAACGGTATTTTAGTGGGTATATATGTTTGAATTGATATACCTAATTTTTCTTAATGAAATTGATATCAACCAGCCTAGATCGGGAAGACGTACTAGAGGAAAATATGCCTTACTACAGTTAGCAATACAAGTTCGATTCCTATCGGGAGGCATATCTTGCTTTAGTAGGACTTCTTGATCTAAGCAAGTTGATATTAATTACACTGTTTAAGAAAATAAAAAAAGGATGTCAAATGAAATACGTGTACCCACTAAAAATGACGTTTATATATATATATATATATATATATATATATATATATATTGTGTGTGTATTGAGGCAGCATCTTTTCATTCATACACGTTTCATTAAATAATATGGACAAGTGTTGTCTATTTATTTTATGTAAATTTTTCTCTTAACATCTGATAAGTTTAATAACATTATCGTTGAACGAGGAAATTCACAATATTGATACATATTTTTTTAATACAATCTAAGCTTTTGGCTTACATAAGCCATTATCAAAGATGTCAATTACAACATATTAAGTAATATACGGACAAGACAGTGATGATAGTCTGTCAATGTTTACATAGATGACTTCTAAGCAACGATAAACACGCACATATAAGATGCTAGAAGCGAAAATCGCACCGCATCTCATGACGTCACACATGACACACGAGAGTGAATTAGAGAATGAAGTATGGAAAGCCGTTGGTATAAGCCAATGGCTTCTGTCACCAATTATAGACATTTAAGAATATTTGTAGAGATGCCATAATTGATTTTGTTTAGGTTGGGTTTCAACTGTTTGATGTATAATGCTTCAAGGATTTTTAGTTTTTGTCTATTGTTTTCATGTCGAAGTATAATTGTGTTTTCGACAAGTATTTTACGGAATTGTGTGTGCGGGCAGGCATGTTGTTTTAAATGCCTAAAAATGTTAGAGTTTTCATTCAAATGTAGTATCAAGCGTCGTGAATTAAATAATATTTATGTTGGTCACACCATAAACTCGCTTTTCAAGACATCCAGCAAATTCATAGGTCCTATATGGGATCCACGATCATATATATATATATATATATATATATATATATATATATATATATATATATATATATATATAGAGAGAGAGAGAGAGAGAGAAGATAATTAAAAGTAGTGACCAGTTGAATGTAGATTTCCATCTAGGAAGCCTTCCGCCCAGAGACGGGGTGTCATAAAACGCACTGACACAATACATAGATATGGGGCTCAGTCCCCACACATTTTGTGCTTTGGCCCTAGAAGAAGGTTCATCAGCATTTTGATCTGTCTTGTCTAATTTCCCTTCTCACCAGAAAAGCCTGATGGAGGATCCTGTTCAATTGCAGATATAGTGGATTATACAGGGTGTGATGGATAAATTTTCGCCTAAATTGCGCAAAAATTAAAATAATACTGACACATCATTTTAACAGATATATTTATCAAAATGATAAAAATATCTTGAAATACTAAAGAGTAAATTTATTCAATAAAATCCCCATTGGCTTCAAACACGGCCTCCAGACGACTTCGGAATCTCCTGGAACTTTTCTGGATTCTCTCCTTGGTGAATGCTGCCATAATTCTTGCCTTTAGTTCATCTTTATTGTTACAAGGAGTTTTTTGGTCTCTTGCTTAACTACGCCCCACACATAATAATCAAGGGATTTTTAGTCTGGGGAGTTAGGTGGCCAGATACTATCGGGCGAGGTGGTCGCAGAAATTGTCCGACAGCCATGACCGGGTTCTTCTCCTTCTGTGGTATGATGCAGAGTCCTGTTGCCAGATATGGGGTCTTCCAGTAGCCACCCTCTTGAACCGGGGCATCACTACCTCCTCAAGACTCTTGATGTAGATCTCCGTGTCTGAGGAACTGTGAGGAGATGAATGTAGGCATCATATCGCCATCACTAGTAATCACTCCAAACATATTCGTAATCACCATTTGACTCATCCAACCCTTTCCGACTGATATTACGTAACTGTTTAGCACTCTTTTCTTTGTTTCCAACGAAATTTTTCTATCATTCCACTATCAATCCTAAGAAATCTCATTGCATTTAACAATCAATTTATGAAAGTTAGCGGCTTGAAGTGAGGTAAAGTCTATAGGGATTAACACCTCACCCAGTCAGGAGTGACATATACAGCTTAAGGCTACACATAGCAGTTATTGATTTACGCACTTATAACAAGTTGATTTTCAGGTTATTTTAGTTATTTTCATACTCAAAGGGTGCCACTGAGATTAAGATCTTGTGTCAATCTAAGTTAAGCTTAGCATCTATCTATCTATCTATCTATCTATCTATCTATCTATCTATCTATCTATAATAAAATTATATTAATTCCTATCACTGTAATAATAATAATAATTCCTATCTATCTATCTATCTATCTATCTATCTATCTATCTATCTATCTATCTATCTATGTCAAAATGTAATTTTGGGTATACCTATCTTTAAACATAGACACAGGAACACATTCATTGCAAAAGCATTTTTTCTGCGCATAATAAAATAATAGCTAGGAGTTGAGAGTCTTAATTCTTCTCAACGTATTTCGTAATTGGTTCTGTCGAAAACCTACTTAACACTTCACAAATAGAAAAAGAATAGATCATTAGATTTATTTGTCTGTCTTAAGGATAAAAAGAAATAGGCACAGCATTCTGGGAATATTTGCCAAAAAAAGCCTCTTTCCCTCGGTGACACTATTTTTTTTTAATGCTTTGTCTTTAATTGAGTGCCACTTTTACCCTTTCCACTTAGTCTTTCACAACTACACACACCGTTGGTTATTTTGGGATTTTGTTCCAACATTGTGAAAATAGTGACGGATGTGCCAATGCTAGACTACATCCGTCATTTACATGCCAGCCTTGACCAAAGAGGTTAGAGCTACGTTTTGGCAGCGTTAGAGCAGCAGGGTAAGATGGGAAGGTGGTTGGTCAAGAGCGGAAAAAAAATCGATGAAATATGCTAATAGGATAGCCGTCTGCCATATTTACTCATGGTGGCCATCATGTGTTTAAGCCTGTATTTTAGGGTGGGGTGTCTATGTTTTTGAGATTTCCTTGGTAAGGTAAACTTTAGCGTGGATGTAGTGGGGGAAAAATATAGAACAGGGAGAATAAACAGAGAGAGAGAGAGAGAGAGAGAGAGGGAGAGAGGAGAGAGAAAATACGTTGACTGGGAGATAGATAGAGGGCAAGATAGAGAGGGAGGGATAGATAGATAGATAGATAGATAGGGGAGGAAGAAGGTAGAGAGTGAGATAAATAGAATGATATAAAGTAAAGGGTAAAGCTGAAAAAAGAAGAAAAGATAGATAAATAGATATGTGGAGAGAGGGAGAGGGGTCGACAGATAAATAGAGCAAGAGAGATAAAGAAAGGAATATATATATATATATATATATATATATATATATATATATATATATGGTGCAATGGATAAATTGTCGTCTGAATTACGCAAAAATTAAAATAACACTGACAACTCATTTTAACTGATATATTAACCAAAATTACGCAAAAATAACTTGAAATACTAAAGAGAAAATTTATTAAATAAAATCGTCATTGGCTTCAACCACAGCCACCACACGACTTCGACTCCTGCAACTCTTATGGGTGGTCTCCTTGTTTAAGTTGGTGAATGCTGACATAATCCTTGCCTTTAGTTCATCTTTGGTGTTACAAGAATTTTTTGGGTCTCACCTGCGCAGTACACATAATAATCTGTGGGTTGCAGTTTGAGGAGTTAGGTGGCCAGATGTAAGGGTTGATGTGTTCGCAGAAATTGTCTGACAGCCATGATTGGGCTCTCCTGC